ACAAACAAGAAATCAGAGAATGAAATGTATATCTTTAATTACAGTTAACGTAATTAAACGATTTTTTTTCATTTTGAAGGTCAAAATCCAAATATGATTGTAACTTAAAATTATGTAAAATTGCGAAAAACATTTAATATAAATAATTTTTCAATGTAATTGAAAATTATTTGAGTCCACTGGATTTTTGAATACAATTAAGGTTAAAAATAATACACTGGGAAAGAAAAAATATAACAGTTATATGATTTTTATTCTTAAAGTTGTATCTCTTTCATACAATTCTAATCTATCTTCTTTCCAAAGAGCTCGATAGATAAGAGAAGCGCAAATATAGAAATTAAGACAACTGTGCAGTGCATCTTTTCTTTAAAAGTAAGAAAAATGTAAAAAAATTGTGAAGAAAAAATGAAAAGAATAATCGAAAAATATTTCAATCGCATTAGTAGAACTCTGTATATGGCATCATAGTCTAACATTGTGCTGCCATCTTTGTAATCGCATTGACTTTCTTCTTCAACGATATGGAAACGTCGAGCATAGAAGATCGCATATTATAATATGATAATAAAAAGCGAGATATGTATATCTCAAAAATATTTCAATGTATAGTATCGGAATATTATTAAGTGCGCGCGTTATTAAATTATTTTAATTGAATTTACACTTCGAGAAGTCCATTTCAGGATGTTGCTCCATAAACCTAGAAAAATTCAACAAAATGTAACAATTCATTAATTAATTTAAAATGTGGGTATCGATAAAAACATCGACGAGGCTTACTTTTTGATGACGTCCTGTTTCTTCTGTTCATCGGATGTTGGAAGTCCTAATTCTTTCTGCCTCTGATCGTACATCATTTTCTCCACGAGGCCTCTTGTCTCTCCATCGAGGTCGGAGAGTTTACTAGGTTCGGGGTTTACTTTCTTCGTGCTAATTTCTGGCTCACTCGTTATAACATGTGCCCACCACTGCATTTTATTTACCTGCAATAAGCGAACATTAATTTCATTGCAAATTATAAGGATATTGCCATCATTATATTATTACGCCATCATTACGCCACAAATTAATAAAATTAATCTATACTATATAAAATTATATCTATTGCTATTAATAACATCTTGTTTTTATTTATTGTACATAAATATATATATATATCGACATTTTCATTCATCAAAATTTAGATTATTTTAATATAGTTTTAATATATGTATGTCATGGATCAATTATGATTACAATATACTGTTTTATGTTTCATAAAGTTTTAGATAAAAATTACGAAGCAGAATCACGAAACGTTTATACAACCAGACGCGAAGATAATCAGACGCGAAAGAAATGTTAATCGATCACGCCTATCTTAAATCTTCATTTGCGACTGGACGATCTTAGAGCTGTTACGGTAAGGCCGAGGATCGGCGAGGCCACGAAAAACGCGCTTATGTGGGTGCAATCTCGCACCTATTATGTCCATGACTCACCTTTTCTAGATTAATTAGCAATAGTTTTCCGTCTTCAATTACCCAAGTAGATTCTTCTAATTTGACCTCGTGCGGAAAATCTCCAGCAAGAATTGGTGGATGGCCTTTCAGTCCACAGCTTAAATGTTTTTTTGTGATCGACACAACCACATCTTTCGGTCTGGCCGAAAAGTTGATCTTTAATGGTACTCTAATCTGTAAATGCAAAAAAATGCAAATTGTGCGTTTACGTGTTCTCTCGAACGCGTATCACATGTGGCGACTACGAAACTTGCGCGAAAAGAAACTTCGTTGATAATTTGTCATAAAAATAAAAACAAGAGAACTCTATTTAAAAGAATACCACGTATTTATATACATATGTATACAATTTGTTTCCTCATGATTCTATTTTCTATTGTGATAATGTTT